CTAACCTTCAAATGAATTTGCCTCTTTCAAAATAATTGCCAGAGGAGTCTATACAATTTTTCAACAATATTTTACATTAGCAAAACACTGTTTATAGACACAGAAACTAACCTCGCCAAATATGTGGAGTTAAAGTAATGGAGTTAACATATCGAGTTAAAGGGCATCCAATCTTTGGTTTACAATGCTTTTGTGCTCTCATTTGAAATGGTTGCACCACCCATACACTTGTATTCTTGAAAACAATGCATCACCATAGACCAGTGGTGCCCAACCTTTGGCCTATCACAAGCACATTTCCAAAACATCAACATTTTTGTTAAACATATTTCCAATCTTATGTGATACATCTTATGTGATACAATCTTATGTGATATCAATTTCGGCAAATGGGTTTGAAATGAATAATAATATTGGTTGAATTTTATGGAAATCAGAGAAGCAGAGTTCAAAATTATTTTTCAGTGCATTTAGGTTTTCCGAGTATTTCTCTGTTTCAATTGCCTTGTGGTTATTAATATGGTTTGATAAATTCTGAAAATGGGTGACATTTTTTTCTTTCACTTGATTTATCCACAAATTTAACTTTATCTGGAAAGCAATTTAAAAATTATTGTCAATTGTCAATTGAAAAAAACTGAAAAAAGTCAATTGAAAAAAAGTTTTTTCTTTTCCCCGGAGATCTTTGTTCAGTTTAGCTGTTATATCTGTGAGAAAATACAGATCGAATAACCAATTATTATCATCCAATTTTTTATAACTTTCATTTGTGGATTCCAAAAACTTCTTTATTGGCGAAAGAAGTTCTACAAATCGCTGAAGTACTTTTCCCCTGTTGAGCCACCTAACATAGGAATGCAGCAATACGATTCCATTTTTGCTATCAAGTTCATCAGTCAGCAACCAATTATTTTATAACATCTTGCAAGATATCTCTTATGACTATAAATGCTTATCTGTTTAACATATTTAAACAATTAAGAAATATACATGAATGGTTATTTTAAAACTATTTTTTGTTCATAGTACCTAATCGGGCTGGCGAGCACATACAAAACGATCGCGAGCGCAAGGTTGGGGACCATTGCCATAGACTGTTTGAATCACCTCTAACATTTCAAAAGCAGGTTTATCTAATTTGTAGCAAAATTTAATGTTGTAATGTTATTTTGTCACAAAGCAAATTTTTTCATATGTCTTAGTAAATCAAAATGACTCCAGTGTTATGATATGCTAATGATAAAATAACCAGTTTAAACTGGCTATAACAAGAGTTTAGATGTCACTCTTTCTAAACATGTGTTTATTCTTTCACTTTTTCTTTTTATAATTCGGTCTTTTAATTTGCGCAGTTACTTTTTTGGCATACCTTATATAAACATTCTCTTTAACTTTGAATGACTAAGCAAATTAGTCTTACCCACATATGCACATAGGAACTCAGTCAGCTATGCAATCAGTTTAAATCTCAATAATACTTACCAAAACATGTTTAGAATAGGATAAAAAATTAATACAAAATAATTGCAGCACAGGCAGCACTACATCAATCCTAATGTAGACAAACCACATTCACTAAATGAAATCCCAACACCATGAAAGAGTTGTGTTAGATAAACAAAATTTAGGAGATGTGGTTGGACATCTGAAAAACTATGTTTATCCAGATTTCGAATGAGATGAATAAGTATAACTGCAGCCATATTTATGCGTTGAGAAAGTCTTTGTTTTAATTCTATGCAGAGACTGCGCTACAGATTTAACAGAAAGAAATTTTTTGCAGAGAAACTGCAGGGAAGGAATGATGTAATGCTGTAGAATGATGCAAAATGGTGCAATTCCATATTTTACATATACATATAACAACTATTTAATAATTAAGACTTATTAAGACTAGGAAATTAGGATAGATACACATATAGTATATACAAATTTCTTGAAACTTATAAACTCTTAAATAATCTCTCTATATTGATGATTTTATTAGTAACATCAGACTGTAAAATAAGCATTTAAAACTAGTACTGAATGTATCAATACTTTTAAAGATGGAAATATGTTTCAAGAAAGTTGCAAACTAATTCCATGAAATTATGTAAAAAGTGTTAGACACAGAAGTAAAATATAGGTTCTTAAATGAGTCCAGTACACAAAGTTTAATGCTGGTACAGATATTAGTTTATGCTTGGAATGCAAACAATGGTAACAATACTCAGAAAATTCCTTTCAAAACAAATCAACACTAAACTATTCTTATTGCAATTTATGGGTTTCATCTCTGATGCTGTAGAATTTATTGGACCTTATATAATATTAATTAAATGCTTAATACAAGCAATATTGCATTTAGGATTTGACTAGGGTCTTCCACTGATCTAAAACATTCTTTCCATTGAAGAAAAATGAATTTAGTTGCATTCAAGAACACGCATAGAGTTATTGTGTATCTACTTATAGTGCTAATTAGAGAAAAGGGATTTTCTAGTTTTGTAGTCTCTAAAAGCAGAGTTGCACCATTCAAAACAATTTTTTTTACCAAGTTTTGAGTTACTTTTAACAACTAAATTAAGCAATAAAATCACAGAAGACATAAAAATACAGTGCTTCAATACTTTTGGACTAACTTTTGGCCCATAACCACTGTTTATTACTGGACCAGAGGCCTTCCTGATAGATTTAAGCCATTTATTAAAAAGAGTTCAAGACATCAACAACAAATATACTACTCTTCAAGAATGTATCTACTACCCTGGAAACAAAATAGTTTGATTTGATCACTAGAGAAATAACATTATCTAAAGCGCAAAATAATTGTGTGTTATTATGTTATTATGAACCCAAATGGCAGTTAACAGTACATTGATTTATGGCTAAGCTTGTAAGACCAGTAAAAAGTAGGAAGATAAAGAAAAACTTGAACTTTAATGAAACTGTGTTATACACAACAATCACACATGAAAATTTCGTTCATCCCCCCTCCCCGAAAAAAATCATCATTTTGCAAATTAATTATAATAACTGTTTGATGTTTAAGGTTTGTGAATAAATCAATCCATAAATAAGGTAAAAAGAAAGTTATTTGAGAGTTTCTGAATAACAGAATGCAGCAAATAAATGTGTACAACATTCTGAATTTCAATCTGAAATTAAGTGTCTGCTATCAAAACGGCCAGTTCAAACTCAGAAAAAGTAAGTTTTTTTATCTCTCAACAACAACAACAACAACAACAACAACAGAAAAAAAAAAGAAAAAAAAAAAAAAAAAGATCTGGATTTTGCAGGACAAATTATCTTTAAATTAAATTTGTAAATATCAAGAGTTACTTTATAATTATATATCACAATGTTTACATGTTTTACTACATTAAAAATAGTACCATTTAGTGTTCATTTAGAAATATTATCAGATTTGTTTACAGGTCTCATAAAATTTATTGTCTGATGACCTAATGCCTCCATTATTTGGAGTGATAGTGTAAGAAGTCATGAATGTTTTGGACAACATACCTAAAAATTGTAAATCAGATATTGTTGAACACTTTAGATACAAAGAAGATATAATGTGGAATTTTATTCCTCCTTCTTCACTGCATTTTGACAGATTGTGTGAGGCTGATGTAATAGATGAAAATAGAAGCTTGCTTGAATTCTCAATCATTATTGCCATTATCTGCTGATCCAACAAATCTTCCGCCATTAATTCTTGACCTCTTCCGAACAGGAGCTCTACTTTTATGAATACCTCAACCAGTTACATTGCAGATACTTTGTGTTAGTCTTCTGGATGGACCTTAACTCAGAAACTTAGAACTAACTTCAGGAACCAATGGTAAGTAGAATACTTTAACCATTTTCAGATTTAGTCAAAATGGAATAAACTGAAATCTAAGCTCAGTTGGAATCTTTTCCCAAACTGTTACCAATGTTAGCCCACTTCCATTCCTAAATGATACTGGACACCCCCCCCCCAGTGGAAACTGCGATGTTCCAATCCAAACAGAACACTTTTCATATAACTGAGTGGCAATACAACAAATAGTACAATCATACATTTGATTCAGATAAACATTAAGTGGCAACGGTAGAAAAATATTCTTTTGATTTGTGTTTTTGATGTAACGTGACCATTGAACACACCAGTGGTTGCCAAACTTATGAAGTTTCTGAGCTACAGTGCCGTTTTTAAAATCTACTGCAAGCTACCAATATTTTAAAACAAAATCTTACATTTGTTTATTGCCTATAGACTTACACTTCAAGTAAACTGAAATCAGTATTAATTAAATTGTATATGAGAAAAAGAAACTGAAACCAGTATTAATTAAACTGTATATGACAAAAAGAAACTGAAATCAGACTGTACATAAGAAAGAAATTGCATTTAGTAATAAATAACAAATGTAAAAACAGACTATTTATCAATCTTATGAAGTTTAATGAGAAGGATGGAACTCTTTTTTTATCATCAACAGTTTTTTTTTTTTTTTTTTTTTTAATGTTGGTGTTTAAGTGGCTGCCATTCGAATACAGTTGTCCAAGTGTTCATCAGTGAGTCTGTTTCTGTACTTACTCTGTCACCAGTAAAATATTACTGCAAACACCTGGTTTATATTGCTAAATAGTTTTTAACAAATAAATGATGCCTGTATTAAAATTTGCATTTAGATGTAATGTGCCACATACAGAAAAGTTTTTAAACCATATTCCCCTTCCCCCTCAGAATCTCTTTTAGCGCATCCTTTGATCTGTCTATCTACAAAATTTTGTATCATTTCCCATTTCAATTAACAGCTACAGAGTGCTCTAAATAGGCCAAGTTTAAACTTAAAATTATATACAGACTTATATTATTACAGAAATAATAGATTATAGAACTATGAATGATAGATTTGTATGATCAATAGAAGATAATGGTATAACAAAAAATAATTTAAAAATTAAATATAAATTTTCAAAAAAAAAAGTTACATTAAAAGGAATAAAAATACAAAAATACATACAATTAACAACTGATTTTCCTGTTGTTTTTTAACAATATTGTCCCATTCTGCTTTAGATGCCGTTCTCAGATTGCTTAACTCCGCACTTTTTTGCAAAATATGTGCCTCGCAATCTTTTATTTTCTCTTCAATTTTCTCTTTCTCTTTAAGGTGATGATCTAAGTCACTTCGCTAAAATTAAAATTTAAAAAAAATTTTTTTTTTGTTTGTTTTAATATACAATGTAAATTTTTAAAAGACATGCAATATTCAGAAAATTATACAAAATACTGTAAACAAATAGCAAGCAATACATTTTAAAAAGTATGCAAATAAAAATAAAGTAAAAAAGAATTAAAATATTTTAAACATTTAGCATAAAACAAGTATTCATGTAATTGAAGCTAAGGCATCTGTGGAGAAAACTATCAAAATGGAGAAAACTACTCATTATATGAGGTCATGGTAACTTAAAAAACAAAAATTTACAAATTTTCTGTGTATAGTTTGTCAAATGGCATTAATAACCGAGTTCTTGCAATAGAGATCTTGACATAGCAGTCAGTGATCTTGGTGGCCAATTACAAAATGAAAAATTCGTGGTAGCGCCAAGATCACTTGACATCATGCCCTGTGGTTTCTTTTCCCGCACTGGGCAGAACAACAAGAATACTGTATATGTGCCTCTCTTAATTTCAAAATCTGCCAGAAATACTACAGTGTGACTTCAGAATGTCATCAAAATAATTAGCATAGATGATCAGCAAAATATATAGCAAGAATTCAACAGCTATCTGTGAAAAGCAATTCATGCATGGAATATTTCTAAATTTTCTTGATGACAGTAAAACTTTGACACTGCCTGCAGGCACTTCAATAATTCTTCTATCTTAATCTTTATATCAATAGAATTTCTTTATTATTATTATCCCACAAATAAACATATAAAAAATTGGCAAAATATTACAAAATTTAAAGGTGTTAATTTAAAGGTAACAAAACTAAAAACCTTACGAAACATGTTTCTTGTAAAAAGACATGAGTATAAGATAAGATCAAATAAGAAAGTTAAGAAAACTTACTTTGACACCAAAACTCCCCCCCCCTCCCCCGGAAAAAAATTCAAACAATATTATTGTGAAGCCTTTTTCCAAACAAGTATAAATGCAAAATGATTTCGATTTATTTTTGTAAATGTCTTTTTAAATAAATAAAAGTGATACGCTTCTGCATCTAATAATGTGATTTATTCCATTATTTTTGCACTAAAAATATTATGCATTTCATTATATGAGGTCATGAGTAACTTTTACTAAAGTTATATCATTAAACTTATTTTCAAGTTTATGGAAATGTTTTTGTAAATATATTTAATTTGAAATATATATGCATATAATTAAATAATGAGTACACTTTATCTCATGAAGAGCAAAAATTTGATTTTAAAATGAAATGGGAGGGGGAACAAGACAATAAAACAAAAAGCACAATATAACCAACCAGAGTGAAACTAATACAAGCAACTATAATTTTCAGTGCTTTACCAACATACTACATAACATCAAGGACCATAAAGTACAAGAAATTAAAATACTTCAACTACTATTTATCACTAATTTAAAAAAACATTTTGCCTTCAAAACCTAAACTGCATTATATTACACCTTACTGAGACAATCACATTAGGATGCAAGTTTGTGATGACATGTACAAATACATAAAATTTAAATAAGCTTTAAAAAAAATCCCTGATATTTTTATTCAACCTAATTTAAGCATTTCTTAGAAATTACAGTCAAAAGTCGTTAATTCGGACACCCATAAATCAGAATGAAATATAATCCGGACCTCAAAGCTACAAACTTTCTGCGCATGCGTCTCTTTGACGCATGCGCATAGGCATTTACGCGTTCGCGTTAAGATCTTTACGGCTGCGAATATGCGTCTGCGCATGCGCATAATACATTTACGCATGTGCATTTAATGTATAATGGACAGTATAAACTAAGCTAAAATTATCTAATTCGGTTAATGTTGCAGATTGCGTTGTTCCTTAATCTTCGAATTGGATCCGGCTTATTATTTTTTGCAGACTGTTACAGCAATTTTATAAAAGTAAGCTTGAACTTTCGATTATGTCAAATAGAATTTCCGATATATATTTACTAATATGTAAAGGATCTACAAAGTGAAAGTACGTTTCGAAGACCATTAAACAAATGTGGAATTGCTGCAAAAAATGACCTAACCATTCCGAAATCTGTTTATCAATTTCACGCTGCTCTGCGGCAGGGGGGAAACGCCACGGCATGCAATGAATTGGAAGTTGATCTGTCAGCACTATCCTTATCTTTAGGGCAGATGTTTTCATTTTATTTGGCTTATAATTCCTTACTAAGTGTAGTATTTCATCTCGATGTATTCCGTCTTTGATATGATTTAAATCAAATTCCTCATCATTATAATTTGCTTCCGATAGTGACGAAAGTGACACAAAGGTTATTGAAAACGAAAAAATTTCGATTGACAAATTAGTTGGTATTCTCGACACAGCAATTATAGGACTTGAACAGCGGAACTTTGTAACTGAACAAGAAATTATGTCTGTTTATAGAATTAAAGAGAAAGTATTATCACATAAAACGAAGCAACTTAAACAACTTACATTGAAAGAAATGTTTAATAAAGTAAACAAATAAATATTAAGCTTTTTTTTTTTTTTTTTTTTTTTTTTTTTTGTAAATTTTGATACCCTTTAGATCATAATTGTTCTTTATTTCATAAATTACGGTTTCATATTTTTAATTTTGTAATTTCTGCATACCATCTTACCAGATTTAAATTGATGATCTATAATCCGGAAAAATCAATAATCCAGAATCACCGAAGTCCCGACGAGTCCGGATTAACGACTTTTGACTGTATATGAATTTATAGGAAAAACAGTCACATTTTCTTGCTTTTCTATACTTGCTAAAATAAAAGATAATATTTGAAATGAAAATAAACAGTAAATGTCAGTTCAAATATTTGACAATATATTTGAAGATGCAAGGGCTTCAAATATATGGTCAAATATTAACAGTTTAACTAATTAATAATAATTAATAATTAAATACAAACTATTAATTAACAGTTTAATAATTAATAGAGCAGTAGTAGTTAATTAATAGTTCATATTTAACAGTTTGGCTAGTTAAGTATAGCAAAGTAAGTAAGATACCAGAGAAGAATACTTTTCAAGTAAAATTTTCAAATAAAGAACTGACTCACATTTACATTTGCACACAAAATTACAAAACTCCTTTTGGCAGTCAAGATTATTTTGCTACAGAATACATAATTTTACTCATAATTGGACACATGCATTCTGTAAACTGAATTTAATCAATGATTTAATACAAAAACAAAGCATATCCCTTCTTTATTTCATATACTTTGCATTAGTTTACAAAATAAATTTAATGCTTACGTTCTGGATAGAATAAACTGAATAAAGTATAACTGTCTCAATTAATAATGCAAGCATGCCCTAATCATTAAAAACAAAAACATGAAATATATCATGATATAACACAGGGAAGAAGAAATAATTTCTGAAGAGTGTACAGGTAGATAGTGCAGCTTATTTGACAATACCATTCACCTATTGACTTTAGATAATACACTTGAGTTTGGAGAATTTTATATTGTTCTACGTGGTGCAGTGATATTGTCTTATTGTAACTTAAAAAAAGCTGAAAACATTTTAAGATTATTTTAAAACCTTGAATTTGTTTAATTTTCTCCACAGTAGTAATTTGCAAATTTTTCTATGCCCCATACTCTTACGAAATGTTAATTCCTATCCAGCCCCCCATAAGAGAAATACTGCTTCTCCATATTATATTCAGCCTAAGGAATATATATATATAACTCGAGATTATTATACAAGGCCACAGCTAGTTAAAGGATAAATACTATATAAAAAAATGCATCCAAAATATTTTAAATTTCTTATTTGTGTAATCCAGGGTTCGTAAACATTTCTGAACATGGAAATTAAGTACTTTTAAGGACCATTAATGAAAAAAAAAATTAAGGACCTATAAGCAAATGGGAACTGAATAAATTCAATTAAAAATATTATCTATGCTGAAGTTCACTTTTGTAATACCATCCTAAAACTAAAATAGGTCCATAATTAGAATGCATTATTATTAAACATAACTTGCATAATTATTAGTAAGTTTGAGAATAAAATAAACTTCATGAAATTTCTCAAGTAGCATTAAATTTTACACTCATAATAATTGGACATATTTGAAAGAAGACAAGTGACATTTTATTTAAGTTTTACTAATAAGTCTCATTTTGTCACATACTTGCTCAGTCTAGGGTTTAGTAAATAGTAAGTACATTTTATGTCAAGCAGCATAGGGTTTAAAATGAGAAGTAAAATCACAATCAACATGATTCAAAACAAAAGACTGGCTGTTGCCACCGCTCCAGCTTACCTAGAGAGAGACCTGCTGATCAGAACAAACTTGAAAGGCCTGATATAAGCACAGTTCAGAAGTTTTAAAAGTTAGCTGGGCTCTGTCTGACACGGTGACATGAAATATATCATGATATATGTCATGTTTTTGTTTTTAATGATTAGGGCATGCTTGCATTATTAATTGAGACTGTTGTTATACTTTATTCAGTTTATTCTATCCAGAAAGTAAGCATTAAATTTATTTTGTAAACTAATGCAAAGCATATGAAATAAAGAAGGGATACGCTTTGTTTTTGTTAGCGTCGTACCTTCTTGTAGAGTTCCAGGAGTTGTAACTCAGTTAATATACTTTAAGGTCCTAATAATCCACTAAAGCACCAGCAGTGATTAGTTGTTTTGTATTAAGTCTCACTAGATGCAAAGAATAGGTTTATCATTAGATGATATCACTCTGCTTACAACAATGTTAAGATAATTTGAAAACCTAAACTTATTGTGCCAAGAGAAATTCATAAATACATTGTGTCCAAGATTAAAATGACAAAAACAAAATACGCAATATCTAAAAATTTTGGTTTACATAAATAAAATTTTGTGCATGGCTGCTCAATAATAAGAGATATTCAATATTAATATAACAAAGGGAGTAAATAGTTTGTGATATGCAAATGAAATCAAAAGTGGCCAAAATATGAACAAATTTCCAAAAGAGTGCAGCTTATAAAGAATGTGTTCATCTTCCATGCTTCACATGCCTCATAAGGGTCTCTGTATCTGAAGCTGATGCTTATGGCTTATGGAAACAAATCTCATTCTTTTAAAAGTAAAAATTTTAATGCATGGATGGTTATAAAAGAGTACTGACGTTGCCAATGGATGCCACTGCAGCGCAGCTCTACCATTTGCAATCATAAACTTGTGCTGTCATCATCACACAGCATTTATTTTCTCCATGTCATTTGAGATTGTAGTTCACGTCAGGCTTCATGCATTTGATTTTCATGAAGTGAAATGCATTAAATGTGAAGTGTATGTGAGGGGAAATTACACAACTTTAACTTTTTTTTTTCTGCAGCTGTTGTTCCTGTGATTGCAAAAAAAAATCTTGCTGCAGTAATAACCTTGAAGTTGTTCAGAATAACAGTTGTTATTCTAAAATAACAGGCTATAGTCAGTAGGCATAAAAGGCCTGTTCTGCCAGGTGTCTGTTTAATTTATTTCCCTGGACACTCTAGTTCCAAATGTAGCAGAAAAGTCCTGAGAGGGCTTTCTAACTGTCATCTCTTTACGTAATTGATCTTTTGCAAGTGTTGTGAATCCGCGATGGCTTTAGCTGAGTCTCCAGGGGATGGCAGGCATAGTTTAGGATGGGTGCCATAACCTGGATACCACTGTTCAAGACAAACATAACCGCTGAGTGACATTAGGGACACACCAATCTAATCCCATCACAGGCTTTCCATCTTAATCTATTGTCTAAATGACTGCAATAATTCATTTTAACTGAAATTCATCAGTCTTGTGATTTTTCTTGCAACAAACACAATTCCAATGGTAAATTTCAGAGATTCAGAAATCAGTTGCTTTTTATGTTTTCTTAAAAAATATACCTTTTTAACCTTTTAAAAACCAATACATTACATTTAACACTCTCCAAATTAATTCTCCAAATATTAAAGGCATCTATTTTGAGTTATTGCAGAAATTGCAGTTTTAATTTTAGGTTTGAATATCAATGCATTAGTAAAATGCAACATGCAGATCTTGTATTTATTAATAAGTTACTTTGTCATTTTACTTTTATGATCACTTCTAATTTCATTGGCTCCCATAAGGATGCAAAATGTATTTAAAGCACAGAATTCTGAAGTTCAAGAAAGAGCTCATAGCAGCCAATGCTGACCATCTCACTATTATTTTCTCCCACTGTCAAAATTACTTGAATCAGCATTAGCCTCGTAAGCTGTAATTTCTTGCACAAGTTGAGAGCCTTAATCAAAGCTTGCTTTGTCATAATCTCTATTTTAATACTTTAAATCTTACTTTGAACTTTGTTTCCGTTATTTCTGCAAGCTGAAGAGATTGTTTCTGTGATAATGAAAATTGAGTAACTGCCGACCTTCTCTTGTATTAAATCTTCTCTTGTATTGGAGTTCTGCTACTTAAAAGTTTAGCTAGGAAATACATTGCTTGATTGCCTTTGTGGATCCAAAATAATGCCTGGAGATAGCACAAATTTTAATTTAGCCCCTGCAAGTTTGCAAATTGGAGTAATGCTGCCAGACTCGATAGAAGGTTTAGAGTATTTGGTAGACAGCATCGAAGATGAAGCTAGGTACCAGTTTTAATGGTAGGAGCTAGGTTTTAAGCAGTGGGAGGGCTGAAAAGGTACTTTTTACTGTATCCAACTGGTGAGTAACAGAAGGTAGCTAAAACAATATTGGTTTCCAAAGGATAGATCTTGAGTTTGTACAAACGAACAAAAAACATTTTTCAGGTAAACCCAGCAATAAGATGTGCGAGTTTGATATTTCTACGGTCAAAACATTAGTCAAAACAAGATCAAAACTAAGGTCAAAACAAGTCTTCCCTGCAGTAAGGGATAAGGCTCAGTTGAAATTGGAAGCATTCGGAAAATATCAGATGCTAGAGAAAGAATTGATAGCAGCCTGCAACTGCAGGTTCAGAATTTCACTAATTAATTCTCATACACTAGAAAGATTATTCAAATTAGCTGTGAAATATGAAAGCCATAATCACAGCTAAATTAGCTGTATGCCGAATTAAGTCAGGGATAAATGCTGAAAATTAATCAACCATTACCTTATGCACCATTGCAAAGGTTGGAAAGTTTTTTCGCATGTTTGACACTTTTGCAACTCAACTACTAAGAAACACAGTACTTTACTAAAAGGTAAAGATGGTTCCATAGTTACTGTAACTGTTAATCAAATGAAGCCTTAATGAATGGGTAGACATCCCATTAATAAAAGAAGTTTTAGAATCAGCCTGAAGTTTTGCAGAAATTTAGCAAGGTCCATCTAATATGAATCAGGCTCGTATAGGAACAGATCAAATAGCCAGTATGCCTAGGTCTGCAGCAGGTTCACCAAAGAAAGGAAATCAGACTGGTATAAAGAGAAGTGCAAAGCGGTCTCAGATTGAACAAGTGATGAAAAGAAATGTTAATACTATCCCAAAAAGGAGGTTCAGCTATCCATGGTCAGGAAAAGCGCAAATGGCATAACCCAGTAGAAAAGAATACAAAGCTAATATTAACACCAGTACAGAGCTCTGAGTGCAAGCAGCCAAGCCAACTCGAAGACCATGACAATCTAAGATGATTTATGACAATTCTGCAGCCACCTGCACTAGCAGTGGCTAAAGCAAATCAAGACAACCCAAGGATCAGATGCATCCAAGAAGATCCAGGAGGCATCAGCATCCTAACAGCATCAGGACTGAAGAAAGTGATCTAGGCCAGTGTTTCTCAACTAGATTTACTCCAACGACTGGTAAAATATTTCCGTACATTCTCACAGACCGGTAAGTTCAATAATTCGATCCATTGGCACAATTTTTTTACATAAATAAATGTTACTGTAATGTAGGTGCTGTTGTAATATCGGTTGTCGGCCGATGACACTTTGGATTTTGTACAGATAACTGAATATTTCATGGACCAGCATATATTTCTTGTGGACAGGTGCCGGTCTGCGGACCAGTGGTTGAGAAACACTGGTCTAGGCAACCTCAGCATCAGAAGGCTTGAAGGAAATCTAAAAGATTAAGTGCATGCAAAGTTCAAAAAGGAGAGTAAGGAAGACCATGAGGATGGGCCTGAGTGACAGCCAAGGAGAATCTGCATTGTGAACATAAGGTAACCCAGGTGAACATAGAGCAAAGAATGTCACAGTATAAAGAGAGCAAGCAGCCCAGCTACAACTGAAAGATAAGAGCAAATTCATTTCTCTTCCATTAAAATGGAACTTTAATTACTGTTATATGTGTGGTTCACTTGCTAGTTTCTATTTTACCTTGAGTAAAGCTTTCTGAAATAGCAATTAAAATGTCTGTTTATAAATTTTAATGCATTCTGTAAAATTTACTTTGAGTATTACCAAATTTCTGCCTACTATCTTGATTATTTCTTTACTAAGACTGTAAATGGTGAGAAAAGATTAAAATAATGTGGTTATGAAAAATAGCAATTTATTGTACATAACTAATAAATTGCAACATTTGAAGTAGGTTAATGACTGGTTTCTTAGCAGTAATTGAAGCAAGCACTAGAACATTTGAACTATTGAAGCAAGCACTAGAGCAAGTACTAGAGCAATTAAAGTAGGTTAATGACTGGTTTCTTAGCAGTAATTTTATTATGAAAAGCAGATACATAGGTGTGAAAAGATAATATAAATTCTTTTCCAACAATTAGAAATGGATGAAAATCTGCATTATTTTTATTTTATAGTTATTATTTTATAGTTACTTTTTATGAAATTTATGAATTAATATTTTTAATTAAAACCAAACTTTATTCCTGTGAAAGAACAGTTACCCACATCTGATATTATAATTTAATTTTTAAACTGAAATAATTTAAATAAACACTTTTCTCAATCAAAAATAAACAAAGAAAACTTACACATTTATAACTGTTAAAAATAACACAATTTACTAACCATGTCAGACAAATCTACTGGCTTTTCAACTTTTCTTTTAGCTTCTAATTTTTGCTTGACCTCACCTTCCATACATCTCAATTTAGCAATATCTTCTTCATTAGTTTTCCGAGTCTCGGAATATTTACCTTTGTAATCACGGATAGAATCAATATTGTGGGTTTTATCATTTATCCTACCATCCAAAGCCTGGATTTCTGCTTCTTTCTCCCTAGGAATAAAAACTGATTAAAGTTTCTGCAAAACGTTACAAAATCTAACAGAGCAGTCTTGGCATGTTTTGTCCACAGAGGGAGGTTTCTTCCACTGCACTGGGAGAAATGGAAGACACCAATTTTTGAATTTATTTTACATTTATATTATTATATCTATATTTTATTCATGTGTACATTACAAATTTAAATATTATAAATTTCTATATAATTTAACTAGTCTTATTTGAATGTTTGCTGCAATCTTTTTTAAGTAATATATATAACCAAAATAATGATAATACTAACAATTTTGTAATTCATAGGTATTGAAATTTAGCTTCAAAATCTAGTTCATAGAATTCATAGATGAAATTCATAGATGTGAAAGCAAATTTTATAGAAAGTACACAAAAAGATATACATAACCAAATTTTTTTTACATATCTCATGCATTGTCTTGATTACCCCACAAGACATATAAACAAATTTTTTGCAATCTATATCTTATTTTACTGCACATTTTTTGGGCACTTATGTACCCTATTTTCTGGTGTATAGTGCACACCAGTGTATAACGTGCATCCATAATTTTAAGCTACATTTTTTTTAATTTTTAGCTATATTCACTGTATAATGTGCACCCAGTTCTTCATGAAAAAACCTAAAATATACATGTGCAATGCTCTCATCTTTTGAGGTCAGTTATTCGAAGATTTGTCCTAGCCTTTCAAACAATGGTATACCGAACTGATAAGCGATAAGAACAATATATGTGTGGGTTAAAATACTTGAGGGAGGAAATATTCCTGCAAAGAGGGTGGATTGTATTCAATGCAAATGCCTAAATGAATGCTATTGTAGGGTTTTGAGAAAAGGGGGATGTAATTTGGAGTAACAATGCATTTCCAACTTAAATGAATTTGTGGAATAAGGAGTTAGATGTTTTCTCTTTCTGTAGTCATTTGAAGCTGTGATTTTTAAATGCAAATTGAAGGCTTTAGTAAATCAAATTTGCTTTAAAAATTTTTTATTGAATTGTTTTTAAATGCAATATAAATAAAATTTTTAATTAATGTGCATAAAAATTTAGCAATTTGCCATTCAAAGATATAAAGTAAAATTAAATATTAATATTTATCTATTAAACATGAATTAAGTCTTCACAAAATGCTCTACAAATCTTTGTGATGGTTTAGAAACAGATCAGGAAGTACAAAAATTAGTCAGGTCCCAAATAATTATACTGAAGGACCACTCGGAGGAAAATAAAATTCATATACGAATTACACACACATTTTAAGTTTCAGAAAGAGACAATACTGTTCATATCTTAGTTTTTTACAAGAACTTGTTACAAAAATATTTTTATTGCACTTCCTTTTCCTTTAAAATTTGGATGACCAACAATTCTTCTAAAACTACTCTTGAAAAAAGATGGTTTTAATTCCAATTAATTAAAAAAGAAGGTTTGGAAATTTACCACGAAAATGGGAGATTAAGTGAAAATTTTTCTGCTGAAACTAGAACTGGCTGCTCTACTATACACACATCTAAGATAAAATTAAATTTTTCTACATATATAGATGGTTACATTGATTCAGATGAAGATATGAAAGTTCATGTGTGTTTGCTACAAATGCTGCAATTTAAAAGCTGGTGCCAGACTATATATCCATTAAGTGTGTGTGCGTGATTATGGCAAAGCCTCGAGGGCTATCTACCTAAGGGAAGGGATGCCTTCGTGGAGGACTTTCTAAGGGAAACTGGCTCGTATACACATTACACATGGGGAAAACCCCGAAAACGCCCATGCAGCCAGCCCATTCGCGGGATTCGAACCTCGGACTGAACTACCAGTGTTCAGCGACTTTACCGCTCGGCCGCTGACGCGCCCTATATCCATTAAGAGGAGCAATATGACATATTCTGATGTTATAGAAGTAATAATTTCCCCAATAATATTTCATCTCTTGCAAAAGTCAAAGTTCAATAATTAACGTCTGAGGATATCAGAAATCTGCAACACGCTGCATTAAAGTTGATTGAATTCTGAAAGATAATCAACTAACGATTTTGTAATTCCTCTGATACTGACTGACACTGGCAAGTAGGAATAACATGTTAAGTATAGCAGATCTGGAAAGTATATAAATTAATGATTCTTCCTCATTTAGAACTAAACAACCAAATTATACAGACAAATATAATTTTTATCATTCTAGATAATTCAATAGAAAGAATGTTTATCATTCTATGCTTTGCTATTTATTGTTTATCTGCACTGTTTGTTCATTTTGTTCTAAGAAAGAAAATTCTTGAATTTAACTTTCAAAATCTGATACAACAAGCATTTTAATTTTTACTTATTTACATACTTGCCAACCTATGACACTCAAAAATCAGGAGATTTTTTTTAAGAAATCAGGAGATTTTCACAATGCTAAAAAGACTTTTTAAATGATAAAAATATAGTTTTTAATAATGAATTAACTTTAAACAGTTACTAATTCTTAAATGCAAGCAACACAAAAATACCTTACACATAAAAAACATTTTTATTACTTGCATCGTTTAAGAAAACAAAAACAAAAACAAAAAAAAAAAAAAAAAAAATTGCCATTTTAATCAATTTTCGTACAAATGTTATGAACAGTGACAGATTTTGCTTTCGTATTCAAAATGTTATGAACAGTGCCAGATTCGTGCTTAGATAAACTTACAGTAATCGGAAAATGTTTCGTGTGTTGAGCAATTTTTTTTTTTTTTTTATTTTGAGAGAAATTTGTATCAGGTTTACGTTTATATTTTTCAGTATTATTTTGAGAACTGCCAGTTGAATTGCTGAATGGTGCAGAAATTATTTTTCTCAAACCTATTTTTAACAATGGAAGTTGTATCTACATCTCCATTTACTTTAGGTATTTTATAACTTTCAATAGAGCCTTTTATCTTAACTCTCGAAGCATTTACTTCTTCTTTAAAAAATGCAAGAAGTGGGTTCCATTGATCAAGGATTCTAGATAAGCATTTCTTTAAAGACAGCCAGCATGTACACAGATGTTTCAAAAATTTTTCTCATTTCAGTATTTTGCAGCTGTTGGAACTGTTTCAATTTTTCCTTCCTTTTTTAGAACTCCTTTCAAGATAATAATAAATATCAACAATGTTTTCATCCACATAACTAAAGAACATTCAAATAACAGCCTTGAGCTTAACAATAACAGCTTGCTTTGTGCTCATTGGCTAATATATGCCAGATGACACGCAGTGGAGCTCGATGCCCATTGGAGAACGACGTTTCTGGATACGTATGCTCTCACTCACAAAGCAGAAATTCTCATCTGATTAGCAAGGTTTTGTTTTAGATATAATCTAGAGAAAATTCAATTGCTTTCAGACGTCCAAAATCACTTTTTTTTTTTTTTTTTTTTTTTTTTTTTTTTTTGTTCATATAACAAAGTATTAAGCCAAATTCCATAAAAATCGTGAGAAATTTTAAGAATAAGAAAAAGTCGGGAGAAATATATTGTAAATCGGGTTGGCGGGAGAGCGGTCGAAAATTGGAAGTCTCCCGCCTAAATCGGAAGAGTTGGCAACTCTGTATTTATTATTGCACACAGACAGTCAAAAATAAAAAGTTTGTTAGAAAATTTTGAAAGAGATTTTAACATATTCAGTAACTGATGTAAGAGGGGAATAATGTTGGTTACCTGCAAAATAGGTGCTGTCATCTTTGCATTTGTGTAGAATTACAGAATGATCTGGATCTCAATGTCAGGCTGAAGGGAAACACCATTATTGAAAGTTTTAAGGAAATTAACTAGTTTCTAAAGAATATCTCAACTTAGTATTAACAGGGTAAATAACAATTATATCTTCAGAAATGCAAAGTTTGTGGGAGGGGAAAAACTGAGAACATTATATTATTTCCTACAATTTATGTTATCCGAATAGATAAATGTAGTTGAATAAGCAGTTGATAGTAATGAAATATACAGATGTGGAGTAAAGAAAATAAATGTCAAGAAAATCACGAATATAGCAACCTAATCAATATCGCAGATAACATCTGACAACCATGCATATTTTACGAATTTTGTAGCAGGAACAAAAGACTGTTTGACAAGACTTGTCAGATAAAATAGTTCAAAGGGGAAAAAACATTTGTGATCGCACCATACTGAAGTTTAAAATAAAAGTATTTCAAGCCATATTTAGAAAGTTAAAAAGTAAATGATCAATTGTCGTTGAAAATCATGTCACAACACATAAAGTCAAACTACAAAGTCACTGAATAAAGATTAAAAAATATTAAAATATTCAAACTCAAAACTGAGCTTTAGAATCTGGTTTCTTCCATTGCTTAAAAAGCTTCAACAAAGGTGAAAAGAAATTACTGGACTCATTCAAACTTTTGTGCTCTTACAATCATTCAAAACTTCTTTGTTCTTACAAAAGACTGATTTGAAGCTTTCCAAAATGCTAACAAATTTGGTGAGAAATTTGCAACTGTTGCCAAATATATTGACAATGTTGAATTCAACAGACGAATATCTTACGTTTTGCTCAAGCTAGTCCAAAATTTCAATAAATATTTGCAAATACATAAAAATTGTTACTTTTTTTCCTGACACCAGCTGTTACGTTATTTCTTTAATTCACTTCACGTTTGTACGGGGTTCATGCAGATTTGGAGTGAACAACGACGACACTTGATGAAGCACGGAAACACACTTTATTAACCAGTACTCAGGACAGCTCCAAAACACTACCACAGTCGTCGAAGATCTACTACAAACATGCTGGAACAATCAGCAGCACAGCCCTCAATGCCATCAGGCAATAACGGTGGAGACAGCCCCACTCTGTTCCCGACCGAGCAGAGTCGGGAGTACAGCTCTCGACTCTGCTTGGTCGTTCTCGGAACTCCATGTACTCTCGAGACTCTCCACACTACAACTCGCGATGCACTCGACGACGCACAGAGCACAGCTCCTCTTCGGTTCAGTTGTTTCCAGAGCTTAACACACTCTCTTGACGATGCACTAGCCACAATACACTAAGAGACTCTCTCGATGCACTCGACGACCCACTTGGCACTCGCTGCCCGGCTGTCAACTCGATCGACTCCGCACAGACTGACTAAATGAGACACACTATCTGGCACTCTAGACGAGGCACACACTAACTGACTGCGGACCAGCAGGTTTTATATAGCTTTCGGATTGTGTTCGAGAACATTCTGGGCTAAATCGATAAGAATTTATTCCAGAAGGTTCTCCATCCGCCCATGGCATATCGCCAATTTTGTTGCCAAACGGGCAATTTCTCACCAAATGTAGCAGGCATTGCCATTTTATGGCAACACTAAAACTGCTTTGCGGGGAGGCTATCTCACCGCACCTGTACACTTCATAACACTGTCCCCTCCCAAGGACTGCATGTCCCGGGCAACACACCCCTTGGTCAGAAGCCAAATTCAATACACACAAAACATAATAAAACAAACAAATAACTAAAACAAATATTTACACTATGTGCAAGTTATATACACAAATTAAACACACAACAATTTTGAATTATACAAATTAAAGTTCTGAATAAATTTCAGTCTCACTTTTTTCATTATTTATACCCGGGTCACCGTGCCTGTACATTTCATAACAATATTAAAAATATTACTGAAATCAATATTACAGTAAAAGGTGGCAACACTGTGAAATAAAATCTGTTAATGTGTTCCCATATGCGACTTCATTATGAAAGCTGGCAATTTTACAAAACCATTTTTACTTAGCAAAAAATTTTGCCCACCTTTTAGAAATATGGGAATACAGATATGTAACTTTACACAGAAACAATTCATAATGCAGACATCACAGCAAAAAAATTTTCTGATATCACTATTACTTGATCTTTGCACTTTGATATAAGTTAAGAAAATGCATGTCAATATCACAAATGGGTAAATGCATTCTAATTTATGTTAGTATTATTTTATGACATGCTTGGGAAAAAATTGAAGAATTAGAGAATAATTTTTATTTACTGGTACTTTATAGCTACTGATAAATGACTTCTCAATGAAATGCAAATTATCCCTGAAACTAATATGTATCATATTCATAATTTCACTGCTCTTTTCAAATCTTTATGTAAAAATGCACGTCTGCAAATACAGTAATAATTTAAGGTCCCTACTCTACAATAGGAGCCAAATATTTTGCTAAGTTAAATGATATTACAAAAAATTCTGCTTTAATAACTCTATAATAAGGGAGTGAAGCCCATTCAAATTGCCCATAATGATGCAATTTATTACTTCTCAAACACTGTGGCAATAATTAGTGGATTATATTGTATATCTTTCGTCCCTCATATCAAAACTTAGATTTTTCATTATTTCTCTCGGTAGAATTTGACATAATGTGCAAATATTGTTGAGTTAAACCCAATACCTTAACACGCCAGCACATGCGCCAGGTATCTCATACCCGGGGGCATATTCTTTGTCCCTTATCTCCAAACCCCTTTCCTGGAAATGAGCAAAACCTTTTGTAGCTCGATTCAAGATCACATTCTTGAAGTTGGGAAGTCAGTGGAGTGATTCTTTAATTACTTTTCCAGGAATTGTACTGTTGGGGTATGTGGATAAAGAAATGGAAAGGTTGAATAATGCTATAAACCATTTCAACAAATGATGAATCGTTTAGCAAAGAGAAGGAGGAATTAATAGATGAAGAATACAACATCAATCATAATTCATCAACGGACAGTGATACAGACACTGATATAGATAGTGAATTAGAAAATCAATCAAATGATGAAAATTATGTAGGTAAAAATGGCCTGATATGAAGAAAAAGAGATTCCAAACAAATGTTAGGACTAGTTCTAGAAACATTATCTTCAAAATTCCAGGAAATACTGGTTATTCAAAAGATGCATCAAGACCACTGGATTCATAGTCTCTGCTCATTGACAAAGACATGATAGAAATGATAGTTCAATGTACAAATATTTACATTGATTCTATTCAGAAGTGGTTTGTGTATGAGCACGATGCAAAGAAAACAGATGAATGTGAAATCAAAGTACAGCTGTATATATCGGATGTTCACAAATCCTTTCATGTCAATGTAAAAGATCTGTGCACAACACATGGAACTGAAATGAATATTTTCTACAAAAAAAATGTCCTGCAAGCAATTCCTTTTCCTACCAAGATGCCTTCAGTTAGATGATATCTGAGATCATCCAAGTAGAAGAAATGTGGATAAACTCGCTCCCATAAGACAGTTTTTTTTTTTTTTTTAATTCATTAAGAACAGTCAGAAAGCCTACACTGTAGGTGAATATGTAACAAGTGATGAAAAATTAGAATCATTCAGGGAACAATGTTCATTTAGGCAATACATGCCAAAAAAAACCTGCCAAATATGGCATAAAAATATTTGTACTGGTTGATTTCAGAGTCTTTCATACATGGAAAATAGAAATAAATGCCGACCAACAGCCAAAGGGACCGTTTCAGTTTGATAACAATGCAAGCGCTATTGTAAAGCATTTGATGGAACCAATTTACAATTCTGGACGAAATTTGGCTGTAGATAATTGGTATATGAGATACCAGCTAATCAAGACCGACTAAATAAGAAAATAACTATAGTCAGAACTGTAAAAAAGAATAAGAGAGAAATTCCGCTGGATATTCTAACAAAGAAATGGGAAGCATTTTCAATTTTTGGTTTCCAGAAAGAAACAATGATTGTTTCTTATGCACCAAGGAAAAAAAGAAGTGTTGTCTTACTATCAACTATATATAACGATAATAAAATTGACGAACCACTGGAGTACTAAAAAGGCTGGAGATTATTTCATTTTATAATCTAACCAAAGAAGAAGTAGATGTTGTAAATGAAATGGGATCAGCATATTCTAAAGCTAGAGTATTGAAACGGTGGCCTGTGATGATTTTTTTCTTGATTTTAAATGTTGCAGCAATTAATGAACAAATAGTCTTACTTTCTACAAAAGAACCACCAACTCAGTTTAGAAACTGTTCTTTTTTCAAATCATTAGGATTGAAGTTAATGGAAGATTACTCAAATCAACAGCAGCAGCAAATCATGCTCCCTTTGAAACTAAAAGAAAAAATAATTTCAGGAGATTGCAACATGGAACCACCATCTACAAAGATGAAAAAAATTTACAGAAAATGCACTGAGTGCCCTAAAGGACAGAAAGACACGGTTTCTGTGCGAGAAATGTAATATAGGTATTTGTATGGAGTATTTGTGTTCAATCTGCCAGAGATGCACAAAGTAATTGTAAGTTAAGTAATTCATTGATTACATTCTTTAAAATGTTATAAAGTTCATTGTTATTTATGTTAATCCATATTTATACCCATATTTATATCTTTAATGCAATTTAAAACGTGTTAATTCTTTCGGGTATGACGTATCCAGCGCACCTTCTCGTATTCATAATTTTGGCGTGTGTGCTCGCGGGCTAAAGAATACAAAATTGGTTTGATGCTCAAATTACACTGCATATTTCCATCTAAAGTCACTTCTAAATATAAATTAATTTTTGTCAGTTATATACATACAACAACTTCATTTCAGATTTACATCTTTATTTACTTTTTAAACACGCATTCCTAAATGCTAAATTTTTCTGCTTTCTATTTTCACAATAACTAATATTATAGAAAAAATTGCATTATATTAGAAAATATTATTCTAATTTTTTATTAATAATATTAAAATCTCAATGATGGAAATTAAAACACATTTAGAATTTTGGGAAAGAACAGTTGCAACCCACTGAAAACATTGCCACCCACCTTAAAATAAGATTTATAGGAGTTTTTTCAATCACTTTGTAAAGAATTCATTCAATAATGGCACAAGAGAAGGAAATTTGAATACTGAATTAAAAAACTTCATTACTTATACTCCACACATAAAACTACTCAATAAATTTTGAGCAACCTTACCTAATATCTTCTTGGCAAAATGATCTTAATAAACATGAAGAATGTTTCTTAGTGCAGGAATAATAACGATATGGTTTAGGTAAAATCTGGTCACCATTTTCTAAAAAAGTAGAAGAACAATGCATAGGAGGGGCATTCATCATAAGCTCCATCGCAGCATCACGATTATCAATAAGAATAATGTTTTCAATTCTTGCCTGAAATAAATTATCAGAATCTAATAAAACTTTGATTCAAAAACACTCCATGACATTTACATAATTTGGCAATTTTAAATACAAAATAACCATCTTCAATTTGCTGCATGCACATAATTTCAATAATACAGTAGTACAGTACAGATACATATCTTGGGATACTCAGCAGATACTATCCCCAGATAGTTTATATTCTTAAAATAAATGCAAATATTTTTATGTTTTGAATACAGATATTTATATAAATATACATAATTACTATAAGGTATAAAATGTCTTCATATGATACTTTTCTGCATGCAAATAATGTATGTCACATTTATTAATTATCCATTGCTTGATTTATCACCATTGATTTTAATTATCCATTGCTTGATTTATGATCAGTGATTTCAATTATCATTCATTTTCATCATTATTCAGTTCATTTCCAGTCACTGATTCATTTAAATTGCTGCTTGACAATATTAAGAATTTTTGGGATCATTACTCATGTCTAGTAGAAAGAAATTTATTTTATTGGCTATGAAATAATCCTAAAAAAATAATAAAAATACAGTACAAAGTCCGAGATCCGGACTCGTCGGGAATAGGGAATTTTGGATTTTTCCTGATATTAGATCATCAGTTTAAATCTAGTACGATGGCTTGAAATTATAAAATTAAAAATATGAAATCATGATTTATGAAATAATGAAGCATTTACTGCTGTGTCGAGAATTCTGACAAACTTGTCGAATCGAAATTTTTTCATTTTTAATAATCGCTTTGTCACTTTCTTCACTATCGGTAATGGCATTTTCTGGATCTAGAACCATACTACAGATTTCACCGTCCATTAATTGATTGATGATTGGGACACTGAAATCGCAATGGAAAAACTTCTGTTACATCATCATTATTTATTACCTCTTCTTCCACATTTCTTTATGACATGGAAAATTCACCTTTGGTTTGCGATATCCGAAAACCTTCAAATTCATGACTATCATCTTCCTCATTTCCACCTTGAAATATGGTAGCTGGCCATAAATTACGCCAAGCATTTTGTAAAGTTTCTGTAGACACATCTACGCTCTTGCGATACTCCACACAGCAGATTTTATGCTAAAATATTTCAAAAATTCTTGAATAGTCTTGCCCTTATACAGGAAATTTAATATGGACTTTAAAAATGCTACTTTATATTTACATCTCAGTGCACTCACTATTCCAATATCCATCGGTTGAATGATGGAAGTACAGTTTGGAGAGAAGAATAACAAGGATACATTATCTTTCCTTATAACTTTAAGTGAAGTATGAGTCATACAGTTTCTACAATCAGGACAATTTTTGCATCATCAGGTAAACCAACCGTATTCAAATATTGCCGAGCCTCGGGTATGAAACAATTTTCAAACCAATCTGCATTAACGCTTGTGTCAAACATGCTCTTTCATTTGCACAATATATAAAGGGAAAATCTTTACTCCTTTAAATTATCGAGGTCATGTATTTTTTTCCGATTACAAAAAGTTTACACTTGTGCATTCCTGCAGCATTTGCGCATGCTAAAATTGTTAGTCTAGCTTTGCAATCATTGACACCAGTTGGAGCTTTTTCTGTATAGGTTGTCAAGTTATTTCGTGGTTCATATTGCCAGAAGAAACCAGTTTCATCAGTCTTGTAAATTTGTCCTAGAGATAACGTTTCACTATTAATCAGTTCAATGAATTCATCTGCAAATAGTTCAGCAGCTTCAGTATCAGCAATTTTACCGAAATTTTTAATTGCTTTATACCATAGCAATTAAATTTATTTAACCAACCTGTAAAATATGTGCACTCAGTTTTTAAGTTCATTTCGAAATATTTTAGCTTGAGACATTAGCACTAGACCCATCAATAGGCTGCCCTCGCTGTGACCCTGTCTGACCCATACAATTATCACTTTGTCATGATTGTCACTTTGAGCATTGTGAATAATTTTCCTGTAATTCACTGCAAGTCAGAATCCACAAAAGGCTCATAAAATTTCTTTTTCTCTTCTGTCTTGAACAGGTGACTTTCCAATGCCATACTCCTCATATAATTTTGAGAGAGATATACAGGTATAAATTTTTTGCAGAAATTCCAAGTTTTGTTTAACGGACAATAAAACATGCTTTCGCTTTGTAGATCCTGTAGCAGCTCCAGAATTAGAAACTCTTTTCGTCTTAATCAAAATTTCAAACTTTAATTATCATAAAATTGCTGTAATTAAAACAGCCTGCAAAAAATAATAAGCTCGATCAAATCAAAAATGCCAATTCTGGGTTTGAAAAAAAAAACTGATTTTTTATGTTTTTTTCTTAATTCAAATAGCATTAAATGTAATCTTTTGGACTATGAATATCATTAACAAAATCTATTTTTAGCATATGGAAAGAAATTTTTCCTCGTCAACATATAGCGCATTTAACTTAAATCACATCGCAGAGCATAATGTCAACATAAAAGGTTTCCATACTCTTTTGTTATTCAGTTACTATTATAAAAAAATTACTTAAGCATTGCTGCATGAGTCATCACTCAAGTTTTCATGTGTTGATAAACATGCAGTGATGAAAGCTAAATATAATAAATAATGATTCGCCAGGTTGGTGTCAGGAATGTAAAATATTAGTAGTAAAATCAACGATGTTTCTTTGTAGAATGTTTCGGTTTGAGATATATGCAGAGGAAATATGCAGCTACAGAGCCAAATTATTGATCACACAAATTTATGCTACAACGATTGTTTCTTCAATAACAAGGTATTTTTTTAATGCATAGATAGTGAAATTAAGTCAGAAGTGAAATTAAGAATAGGGATTCTCCACATATTTTCACATGGGGGAAAAAATCAAATGCGCATGTGTAAAGCATAAAAAAAATTCCTTTAAGATCCAAATTTTAGATCATTCCAGATATTGGACGTCCGGATCTGGGAATTTGTACTGTATATTAAAATCATCTAAAAGTGACCATAAAATAATTACTAACAATAAAATAATCTAAACATTAGATTTACACAATATGCAAAGTTTTACAATCTACTGCAAATCACATGTGAAGAAGAAATAAGAAAAACAATACATTCTGAATTTGTCTTATAGAGTAATTCTAACTACCTACATTTTTTAATAATCAATGTGTTTAGACACCTTATAGCATAAATCAAAGTTGATGTAGTACGTTACATTGTACAGTTCCTCATTATCTTCACGGTCAACTCCGAGAATTATAAAAACAGAGAAATGATTATCATCCTGCTTTACTTTTAAAGCACAAAAAAAAATACAAACTCACACTAATGTTTAAAAATAAGGTTTTTTACTAACAAATCAACCTGACAACTATACAACACTAAAATATATAACAAAACACAACTACAGCTGACAAGAATTCCATAATAAATGTTCAAGTCAAACTAAAATAATTAAATACAAAGCAATATGCACCAAACTAAGCTGTGCCTCAGTCCACAAAGTTTCATTAACAATGTGGCTAGTGAAGCTAAATCTGATAAAGGACTTCAGTAGCTGAGAGATTTAACTGTCCAGCTATGGCTAGCTGCAAAAGCTCCTCTACAACTCAAGAAACTCTATGCTTAAATATATTGTATTAACCATGAAGTAGTTATACAATATATACAACAAAGTTTATAATAACTTTTCATTTGCTTCATTTCATTCATTAGATTATAATAACATTCATTTCATTCTATGAGAAGCAATTTTTGTTTAATGGTAATTTTGTTTTAATTATTTGAAACATGTACTTTTATTATTTTGATCTATTCATGCATTTATAAATTTCCTCGACTTTAAAAAAAAAAAAGTTTGCATTTTATTACTTTCCTGGTAAGTGCAAAACTTGATAAACATGATTTCCAGTTACATCTACCTGGAAAAAGAGACAGGTGATCAAAACGTAATACACAAGCACACCTTGTGCCTCCCAAAAAAGGGGGGACAGTTCAGTATTTCCTGTTCTACTAGACCAATTGTCAAAATTTAACTTTCGTTTTCCATGTCCCAAAAGCACGACTTACTATACATATTAGATTTATATATAGCATTATTCTAACATAGGTATTCTGACACAAAATTGGATTTTTTCTGAAATAACATACCAATTTTTTCCCATATTTTGATTCTACGACTCAAATTATGTCTAGATATTAAATTTTTGTAATTTTTGGTGAGAAATTTATGGAGAAATTTTTTAATTTATCTTGGCGCATTTTTTTTTCCAGTTTGTGCCAAGCATAATTCACTCGGTGAACTTCTCAATTTACAGCAACCTATTTTCCTTTCCTTTTTTTCATTGTACACGAGTGGAAAAAGGGTCATCATTCATACTTTCAAATAATTTGAAAAAGTGAGTAAACCACATTTGGCATTATTATTGCTTACAACAAATATGCTAAATTTCAAAACACACCAATACGTAAATTAACTTATATCTTAGAAAATTCTGAATAAAGAACTCTAACTTTTAGTAGGTATGCTTAGAAATACATCTTCTTTAAAATTTTATAGGACATAATTCAAAATTTCTCCTGAAAAATATATAAAAATTATTTAAAAATATAAATTTTAAAAATAAATATAAAAATGGTCGAATTTTACTTGGAATAAAGCTAAATTTTGAAATGTGAAAGAAAGAATCAAATAAGTTTAATAAAAAGAAAGGGATATTAACAAATATATAACAAATTCAATTAACATGGAGGAGCTAAAATTTTGAGAGCTACTGTTTTAAAAACTACTCATGTGATTTTTACAAAGCTTGCCACTTTGGCATAAATTGAGTCGTGGAATCGAAATATAGAAAAAAACTTGCTATGTTATTCCTGAAAAAGTCCGATTATGGATCAAAATACCCATGTTAGAACAATTCTATATATAAATCTAATATACATCCTAAGTTACGCTTTCAAGACATGAAGGCATGGAAAATGCAGGTTAAATTTCGGCAATCGGTCTGGTAGAACAGATGATATAGTACTGTCCAATTTGGGGGGGAGGGCAAAGTGTACATCAGAAGTTTTATGCTGAAGTGAATAGCAATAACAATCCAAATATTGTACATTGATTCTTATTCTAATACTAGCAAAATGAAATACAACTGTAGTAAATTGGTTGCTTCCACTTTCCTAATATTCTTAAGTTATCCCAACTACAGTTTACATTAATATTTGTTACATAAAATATACACAAATCTATATCAGAAAAATTAATTTTGATACTTGTCTAATAATATTAACCTCTATGGTATAGTGTTTTACATCATGAATATATTTCAGAAACTTTGCTCTTAATAATTAACACTAACAATATAACATCTACAGTGTTTTGCATGTTAAAATTGCAACATTGCAGGTATAGACAGACAGAAGGAACAGAATATAAACTAAAATGTGTAAAATATGTTGCAGTATTATTGTAATTTATTATAATTATTTTCTTCCTTCAAATCTTCCTAATAGTATTTTCATTTCTTAAGCATATTTCATTATACAAATTAGAGAAACAAAACCTGAATTAGTTATTTATTTCTGCAGATTTCTAACCAACAGCCTGTTAATAATTTTGGTGAAGTCAACAGCTGTTTACAGATTTCTAACAGCATGGGCAGTTCATTACTCTAACCTCTATGATGCTCAAGAGTCAACCAAAATTGCATTGATCATGATTTTAAAGTATACAGAATTTCATATTTTACTAGCCCTTAGATTCATTATATTACACTCATGTCCATAAATTAAGGATAATTTGGAGTCACACGGAAATCAAACTCTAAAATAAATATATCACCTGTAAAATCACTACACACATCTTCAAGAATTATATGCAAATTTCAGGAAGTAACCAGATGACACCGATGGTACGTCACAATGATGAGAGTGTAAGTGAGATATAAGGAATACAGGCAAAGAAGTAAAATTGTTCGCAGGCACTTTATAAGTATTTCAGTGCAATAACTGAATAGTTATGACATAAAGGATGCATTTGGATGATTTTTTACATGGTAGAATTATCGGCTGTCGGAATGTGGGCATACCCAACTGGAAGTATCAGACGAACTTGGAATTGCCCAGAGTGTCAACTCCAGGCTTTGGCAATGATTCCAAGATGACAGTAATGTGAGTAGACGTTACAGCACAGGTCACCCCAGAGTTACAATGCCGAATGAGGACCGGTATTTGGCAGTTACTGCCAAAAGAAACAGGCGGAGCACAGCCTCAGACCTGTCTCGTAAGCTCTCTTCAGCCACTGGTACGACAATTTCAAGGCAGACCTTGTACAGATGCTTAGGGCAGATTGGTCTATATGCTCGTAGACCTGTCAGATACGTTCCACTTACTGCAACTCACTGTCGCCTGCGGTTAGCCTGGAGTAGAGAGCATGCATTGTGGACACCGCAACCGTGGGCTTGTGTGATGTTCTCCGACGAGTCCAGGTTTAGCTTGCTGTCTGATTCTCCCCGGACTTTCATATGGAGAGCTTCAGGTACCCGTTACCACCAAGAAAACATCATTGAACGACACCGTTACGGTGGTGCAGGAATGCTCGTTTGGGGTGAAATTATTCTGGGTTCCAGAACTGACCTGCATGTTCAAATTGGAACCATGACAAGCCAAATCTATCGGGACGTCATTCTGGAACAACATGTACGTTTGTTTCGGGGCGCCATAGGCGCACAATTTGTGTTTATGGATGACAACGCCCATCCTCACCGTGCAAACATCGTAAGCGAATGCCTTCAATCGGAGGATATCACCCGTATGGACTGGCCAGCATTCTCATTGGACTTGAATCCAGTAGAGCACGTGTGGGACATGCTTGGCAGACGAGTTGCAGCTCGTCAACTTCCTCCTGCATGTCTACCGGAACTTCGGAGAGCATTGCTTTTTGAGTGGTGTAATATCCCCCCAAGATCAGATTGATAATTTGATACTCAGCCTGCCTAGGCTTTGTACGGACTGTATTGCATCGTTTGGGAGACATACAATGTATTAACAATCATACCGACCATGTAATATTGGTTTTTTGTAAATAGGTTCTTTTTTTTTTTTTTTTATTTGCTCCAGGGATAAAAAATCGCTAATTTTTTTAATAATATCAAACATATAGCATCTTTTTTTGCTCTTTATCTTTTGTTTAATATATAAGCTTTACAAATAAGTCAAATTTGTTTTGCTTTTAACTCTTCCTTTGCCTGATTTTGCATTATCTTTAATTTATGGACATGAGTGTAAATTGGTAAAATGAAATACAAATAAAAACAAACCCTATCAATTAAGCAATTCGCTATCACAGGATCTTTTATGTTCAGCATATCCAAAACAGTGGGATATGAAGACTTGGCTTTGAAAGGTTCAACATAATGTACCTATGACGAAAAATTTTAAATAAATAAGTAAATAAATAAAATAGAAATAAAAAGTATACTCTGTTTTTAAAACAGTTATTTAAAAAATATATATATATAACAATTAACTTAATTTAATTAGCTTAATTTAGACTCCTAATAATAATCGCAAATTAGTTTTATTTACATGAAAGTGACAAGAGAAATTTTGGAGACTTTCTGAAATTCTTCCTATGTTCTAAATTTTATGCGCCTAAACTTTGGATCCCAGTGCTTTCCCTAAATCTTAAAAAACTTTTCATCGCTTAATTTTACGGCTTGGACCAAGGGCCAAGGCGTTTGGTTACAGAGTACCTATGAAATAAATTGCAGTTACCTCCATCATCATTAATGAAAATTGAAATAATTGAGAGAAGCAGCATTTGCTAAAGGTGAAAGGAAAAGCTGGTTAAGCTAAAGTCAAAAAGTCGCTAAGGAGTCCTCATTATTAGGACACAGGCAGACAGTACAAGCAGTTGTCACAATAGAAGAGCATTTAGCCCCTTTGTAACTTGACTGCAGGTAGCTTCCCCAAATTCCAAAAATTTCGTCTTCCCTAAATTCTGTCATCCGGTGCCATAGCACTAAATGTAATCTTTTGGTCTACAAGTTTCATTAACAAAATCTATTTTTAGGCTATGAAAAGAAAGTTTTGTTGAAATTTTCCTTATCAACATTTCTTAGAGCATTTAAAAATCTATAATCATCACCAAGCTAAGTAGCATAAAGGTTGCCATACTCTTGTTATTCAATTACTAATATAAAAAAAAGTTTAAATATTATTGCATAAGTTATTACTGAAGCTGTCATGTATTGATAAACATGCAGTGAAGAAAGCAAAATATAATAAATAATGACTTGCCAGGTCGACATCATGGATATAAAATAGGTGAGTGTTTCGGTTTGAGATGTATGCCAAGCAGACAGCAGCTACAGATCCAAATTATTAATCTCACAAATTTATGCTTACATGATTGTTTTTCCATAACAAGTTATTTTATTTAGTGCCTAAATGAATTTAAGAATCGAAATTTTTAAATGAAAATCTCCACGTGTTTTATTATGGAAGGAAAAATCAAATGCACATGCGTAAAGTAAAAAAAAAAAAAAAAAAAAAAAAAAAAAGTTTGTTGCTTTGAGGTCTGGATTTTAGATCATTCCAGATAATTTATGTCCAGATTTCAGACTTTGTACTGTATTTAAAAATTACCTTTGTCAGTCTCATCAAATGATTACTTTGTGTATATTTCCACAAATGTTGCTTTACACTGTGAGATTGTGACAGCTAAACACTCACCTCTTCCTCTATTACACTAAAATGAGAGCCAATGAAATATTTTCCAATGTCATTTTTGTGATCAACATCCCAAAATTAGTAAATATTAAACTTTTATGTCACAAAATATATATAGAACATATATAACAAATATATATCATGGGGCTGCTACATGTAATTTGTCACACATAATAAACATCTATAAACAAGAACATAAAAGAAGGGAATAAAATGCTCCCTTTTTATTATATAGTATATGTAGCAGCTTATATTTAACTTTAGGAATCATAAAAAAATTGGAAATAATAAAGTTCTTTAATTGGAATATAATATTCAGTATATTATAATTTTATACATATGAACCAAACATAGCGCAGTTCTGAATATAGACTCTAATTAAACACCAGTGCTTCAAAATAACTTCAGAATATGGCAAGAAACTAGTAAATACAGGCACAAATACAACTTAATACTCACCGATTCCAAATATTTACTGACAATAACTGAAGGTACCCTTGTTTTATGGAAATGTTTGTTTAATATTCTGCCCAGCAATTTTGCATCTTGGCTATTATCACAACAGAAAGCTCTCAGCAGTTTATCTGTTAAACAAACTTCCACAGCAAAACTCCATTTTTGATCCAGTATTTCCAAATATAAACCTAGAAATTATTAATTATGAAGAAAAGGAGATACCATACAATTATGAAATAACAAAAAGGAAAATTGTCAAAATTCTAAACATAACATTTCATATTGTAATACAATACAACTATAATTATATATACATAAATAAATTTAAATTTTGGAAAACTGAGCTGAATATCTTCTATAAATAATACGTACATATTATAAATTAATATTCACTTTTTCACTAATCAAATTAATTTTAAAAAAATAAAGCATAAACCATTTTTGAATGACATACAATAAGTAGAAACTGTAAATGCATTCTCATGATTTTCTGAATGATTTAAGCGATCATGCTCTAACTTTGAGCATTTAAAAATACATTTTAAAAGAATGTTTTTAAACTCATTTCACATTCTGCCATTTATAATAATGTTTTCATACAATATTTCTGCTTTTATGGAAATGAAAAATATAATAAAATGTAAAGAAAATGTTATATTAATCTTCACTATCAACTACAAATGAAAAGTACGCCATCTGTTTCTCCATGAAAGCCATACGATTTTATGACACTGTCACTTTCTTAGAACTGCTTTCATCATTTTCACTTCCTACAACACTACCAAAATTTAAAATGATAAATTGATTGACTTTATTATATTATTAAGTTGTTTAATCCAAATAATTTCCGTCATTAATGTGAGCAATAATTTCTCTCTTTGAATATTTATATACAAATCCACAAAGAACATACATGCATTTTTAAACCAATCGGATTTATTTCGCTGAAGAAAATAGCACTCAGCTTCACTGAAATCACTTACAGTGTTGAAGTTTTTTTTTTTTTTTTTCTTTAATGAAAACATAGAAGAGTGGAAAGAGAACACATGAAAAATAAGTGAATAGTATTCTATCAGACCAAGACTGGTAATGCAGTGACTCAGAAGAGAATAGTCTCAAATACTGAATGCAAAAATAAAATTGATAACAACAATGGCCACAATAAGCTTCTGGAATGTGTAAATAGATTGTTGAATTATATCAGTAATTAAATCGAAGTGCAAATTCAGAAGTATCACAACTTTGTTCAGTGCCAACGTATCAACATATATCCAAAAAGGGGAGGGAGAACATTTTAGGGAAGGAAACTTTTAAAAAAAAAAAAAAAAAAATCTTAAATTTTATTACTATTTTAATAAGTTCCTGCTTTCAACAGAAGAATGCATATTTTTTAAAATTTCAGAAGACTTCTTTTTGTAGTACCCGTACTTTAATTATAATTTCATGAAATCATTTTAGAATCCCCACGTGCATATACATAATCAGCAAGCAAAATTTTTTTTTATCTTTGTGGCTTGATGATTATGATGCCTGAGTGCATCATAAAAGTTTGATTACTATTGTTTAACTGCATAAATTATACTGAAGAACAGCAGTTTCATTGTCTTAGATCTGTCCCCTATTTTTCAGTAATTGGCCTCTGGATCCAAAAATAACTTCAGTTTTTGTCTAGGACATCAATTTTTTAAGAAATAGGATACCTTCTCTTTGTCTCAGAAGTCATGCAAAATATGCGTGTAAAAGAAAATACACTAAAAACTTACCACATATACTGTTCCAAAGAATAGTTTCATTCATACCATAGCTATGTGTAGTTATTGCAAGTTAAATTTAATTCATACGAACAGTAAAGTTTTTTACCAAATGGCAAGCATACATATTAAGGTTAATATTTTCGCTTGTGGTTTTTTTGGGGGGGTTGCTTTCTCTGTGAACATTCTCGTCTGATGTTCCAGTAATAGGCAGCCATATATATCCTCTACCTTGGTAGAGTGCCTCCATAACCTTCAGATCTTAGTGGAATCATTCACTCTGCTCCAAGACTTTTAGGAAAGTTATCAAGATGGTTAGGTAAAAAAAAGTAATTTGATGCTCATGTTGCAACCAAGGATTTTGAAGCTGTCCAAAGGTTGCTGGAGAATTTTGCTATAATTTGAGGCTTATGTATTTCCCAGAATGTCTTTGACAATGTTTTCGAACGCCAAACAAGCATTCTTTTTAAGTTCCATCAATGTTCCAATGAAATGTTCATCTTTAAGGACTGCTGAATCTGTGGATCATCAAACACAATGGCCTTTATCTTTTCAAATAACAGGCTAGGAAATGCTGAGATGAGATATCTGAAACAGTGTCCTTCGATTAGCAAAGCTTTAACAGATTATTTCATGAGCTCCAGTTTTAGACGCAGAGGTGGAAATATAATGCTCTTTTTGTCAACAGGTGGCTGATGCAAAATGTTTGGATCACCGGGTTTCAGGTCAGATCTTGGCAGTTAAATAGACTCAACCTGATCATCCTCATGAAATCTGTTGTCTGAATACTTTGTACATCAGCATTGCTAGCCAAGCAGGAAGCAGACCATTTTAAGGTCAACATAAACAAACCATTGGTGCACGTGATATTCTAACAAATCAGAATGCTTTGCGTCTTCATATACTCACAAAAACAAACTGAATGCCTATTGAGACGGCAGCAAATAAACTTCCATTATGAAGGAGAACACACCCCAAGCTCTGCTTAGAGCTATTAAGTGAACAGTCACCATTAAGTTGCGGTATAGGCTGAAGTTCCTGACTCTTCCATTAAACTATGTATGTTATGGCATTATACAAATACATCAGCACTTGCACACGCATTGCAGAATCACACTTTCTCTTGATCAAAGTATGACAGCTTAGCTCCTTTTTCAAGTAAGTCTTTCTCATGCAGTCTTGATGCTAACAGCTCTGAAGTTTTTTTTTTTTTTTTTTTTAGTGAATAATCTTATGTCAAATCATTAAACTCAAAATTTATTAACAAACTAAACTACATTGGAACAAACTGACAATAGACTTTTAAATTACTAATTTAAATTTAAGAACATTCCCCTTTTGCTTTGTGTCACTTTCCTTGCAGTAACCGCAATGCCAAAACTCTTGCCCGAACGCTTTGTAAAATTAAAACAGAGCACTCAGAACATTAAAAATACTTTGACCATGAAACACCCACTCTTCTGCTGCCTACACTTAATAACTAAAAGATGTCTTTTGCTTGGCTGTGCATCATGGAGAACTGTGGGGTGCATATTGTTCCCATTGTGATGTGCCATGTCTTGGAGTAATCAACAAGTAATACAGATATGTTTGGATTATTAAATGATTTGTAATTCTTCAAAAGTTCCTGGCATCTTCTACTATGTAACTGACATTTCATTCAATCCATTTGTGACTAGCACTCATCTAATACCAAATTAACTGCATCGAACAAAATTATTTCATCACATATACACTGGTTTCCAAAAATGAAGGAAAAATCACAAAAATAGTGATAACTTGTTCAAAAGCCAATCTGTATAAAATATGAATACATTGTCAAAAGAATTACTGAGGAAAACTTCAGTATGCAAATTAGTGGTGCTGCAATCAAAATATGTCATTTGTGAGGAACATAAAATTGCATGTTTCAGAGCAAGCCTGCAAATTTTGCTGTGATAATAAGAAATCTGGGATAGCCCATTTGTAACAATGACCTCCAAGCACCATTTGAGTCCTTCTATGGTTCACAGACTTTAGAGACAACTTTTAACCACAGATTTGGCATCCAGGAGATTTAGTCAGGGACAGCTTAACCACTACAAGTGCTTATGACCAACATTTGTTATTATGCACATAAAGGAGTAAAACCTCAACTCAGATCCTCCTTTGCTGCACGGTTGAGGTCAATGTCAACTGTGCATAGACAAAGATTTCACAAAGGAGGTATGTATGCAAGGAAGCCAGCCATTTGCATCCTCCTCCTGTCACATCATAGAAGGGAATGTTTGAGGTGGGCATGTCAATATGTCTACTGAACACCTGACCAATGAAGGGCTGTCCTCTTTACACATGAGTCCAGGTTTAGCCTCCAAAGTGATAGTAGGCATTATTTGAATTGGAAAGAACCTGGAACTCGTTATCAGCCATCAAACATCTGTTAAAGAGATGCATACAGATGAGGCAGTATCTGTGTTTGGGGTGGTATCTCTATGGGTAACAGTATAAAGATGTATTCCACATCTTTTCACGTTGAGCCACGAACACTGAGTTCTATAGAGATGACATCCTTGATGCTTATGTGCACCATAATGCCTGGGCAATAGGTGATAATTTCCTGCGGCAGGACAACAATGCTAGACCACATAGGGCTTGCATCATGGATGATTATCTTCAGCAGCCAACAATTCAGCACATTGAGTGGCCAGCTCAATCACCGGACCTGAATCCTATCAAGCATGTTTGGGATGCTTTAGATGCATAGTTGCTCTTATTCATTCTCTTGCAGAGCGGTTGCCACGCTTGCAACTGCTTTGCAAGACCAATGGCTCTCATTTCCTACAGAGCTGATAGGCTGCATCGCATATCAATGTGTTGTATTGCTTCTAGGGAAGATCATACTCCATATTGAAGGTAATTTTCCTATAACAAACTGACACATCCCATTTGTTCATTTTATACATATGCTAATTTCTATAACACCATAATTGTCTGTAATTTCTTTTCATGTTATTGTATATCTTATTATGTGTCATATAACCGTGGGTCGGTTTCACTTTTGAGTAATCAACATTTTTGTGATTTTTCCTTAATTAACCCCTTCTCAATTTTACCCATATGCCATACAGGCACTGTTTTCAGACCACTACTGATTTGCCCGCATGCCGTACAGGCAATCTTGTTTCTCTATCAATTGTAATGTTCCATTTGCATCTTTTCTATTTTGCATTTTCTATTTCCCATTCTGCATCTATTCTAGTTTCTATTTTCCATTTAATATCAAATTAGTCGTACAGATGGCAATAGTTGTCCTTTAAAAGATAGCTCGCTTTCTGATGAGTTTTCTCTTCTAATTGGTTCTTATTCACAAGCATTTTTCATGTTTTGTATCATTAAATGAATTTTTATCTTTCAGAGCTTAGCATTTTGATTGTATTTTACTATTCACCTGATAATTA